AATTCCTACGTAATTATTAAAAGGTGTTCAAAAGACCAAATTTTTTTCTGAAATATTGAGTTAATTTTATTAATGTTGTGTGTTAATTTTTCATCCTATGAAAAAAATTCCTACGTAATTTCACTCGTTCAATGATAATTTTCCTCCATCAATTTTTTTTTTTTTTTTTGTGAACTCCTCAACCATTTTACATAGAAAAATAAATGATGAAAAAAAATAATTTCTCAACCATATTTTTAGTTCACCTCCTATTAAATAGGCAAATAATTTTTCCTAACCCATTTTCTTAAGAATTTTTTTTTTCACCTCCTACCAAACACCCCCCTAAAGTAAATTGAGTTGTTTCTTTTAAGTTAAAATATCATATAATTTGCTTATATAAAATTTTTATGTCTATTTTTTTTTCATTAATGAAATTCAATTAGTATTAATGAATAGAAAGATAGATACAAAAATTTTATATTATATAAAATTTTAACATGATTCATTTTCATGGTAACTTTAGTTTATGTTTTGCTGTCTTGACACGACGAATTTTGTTTTTTCTACTTTTTAATCTCTCCTTCTAATTTTTTTATGGAACTTAATCTTTCTTTTTGTGATCAATTTAGAGCGTCGAGCTCTTCCTAAGTAAGTCAAAACAATCCGATCGATTATTTTCCTAAGAAAAAAAATTTCGATCGAGAAAATAAAACTAGAACATCTATATTACTTTATATTATTATTTTTAAATACATATATTCTAACATATCTTTCAATTTTTCTGAGAGTTTGCTTTTTCTGCGGTCACTGCAGATAAGTTATCTACAGTAAGTTCAATACGAAAATGTTTTGGGACAAAAATCATGGTATTTTTATAATTTTAATTTATCTCATAATTATTATAGTCTTTATAATTATAATTTTTTAATTTTTTCAATCCCAAAATGACGTCGTTTTGAGAGTAAATACAGATAACTTATTTGCAATAACTGCACCAATATTTTTTCCTTTTTTTTTAAACAAATAAATTATAAAAATAATATAAAAGTTTTGATGTGAAAACGTCATCTCACTTCTTGTTAATATACTACACATTCCCAACCCATATGCATGTTACGAAATGGAGGTTACTTGTGTGATCCTAGATCACATGCTCCCTTAGTTAAATAAGTTAAATAGGGGGTAAAATTGAAAAACAGGTACAAAAACAAGGGTAAAATGAAAAAGTTATGTGAGAGAGAGCACAAAAAATTAATATGGTTCGGGACGATATTAAAATTTTCCTACTAAATGGCCTTTGATAGAGGGAAAATTTAAGACAAAAATAAACCAATTGATGAAGATAATATTGTATGAATAAATGCTTAAAAAAAGCCAAAAATAAGTAAACAATTTATATTGTAGTTGGCACTATCGGACAATTGCCACATGACAGAGAGTCAGTAACCCAAAAGAAGAGAAAAAGCGCAGGATGCAGCCATGCATATTGTATAGTCAATTTCAGAATGTATGAAAAGAAAGCCATCAGTACTCATCGTGCACCCAGAAAACAAACATGGAATTAGAGAGTAGGAACAGAAGATGGCCTGAAAAATTAAGATCATATAAAGAATGGTAATTCAATTGAATAATGATACATGCCTAGACAGCTTATTATATAATTAGAAAAAGCTCCCGTAAGTGAGAAAGTTTTTAAAGTATGTAAGTGAAAGTAAGTTGATTTAAATTAAAATATCTTTATAAATTTAATTTTTTTAAAAGACAAAAAATTGTTGGATATGGCTCATAGTTCGTATTCAGATGAAGACTCGTGTTGGCGGGGTTAGCAGAAAGTCAATTGGAGTCTTATCTTTTTCTTAATAGTTTGGGTTTGGGCCCATGAATAGTTATTGTTAGGATTTTCTAAATTTTATTTATATTTTGAAAATCGAGTGACTTGTAATATAGTATAAACAAGCTGGACGTAGTCTACATTGAGTGAACATGATAAACTTTGTGCTTCCCTTTTCTCTTTTATGTTTCCTCGATCCGTGTAATTACTAATTTGTGAGGGGAGAGGTTATACTTACTACATATTTTTCTTACTATTTCTTACTATCAAATCTTAACCGTTGATTTCTGTCAATCTAATGGTTATAATTTATTGAAAATTAATAAGTGAGATTCAATAAATTATAATCGTTAGATTGACGAAAATCAATTGTTAAGATTTGATAATAAGAAGTAGTAAGAAAAATATATAGTAAGTATAACCTTTCGCATTTGTGAGTGTCAATTTTCAACAAAAATGTCCTGAATTATTTGTGTGATAAATCTATGATTATTATTTCGTAAGTGTAGTATGTCTATGTAACAGTGATTTAGCGAGATAAAGGTGTAGATATAAGCTCAACAAAAGAGTCATTATAAAGAGGTATCAAGTCAAGAGAAATGTGTAGAAGACATTAGCTCTTGTGGTATATTTTGACAGAGTAATAAGAAGGAGAATTGATTTGCAAAAGATTCATCCTCAATAACAATGAAGGCTTTTATAGATAGAAAAGATTCTCTAATAATAAAAAGGAGAAATAATCGTTTTTGTTCATATGGGCCCCACGAGGTTCGGAACAAATATCATGATCTATGTACTAGGAGTGTGAATAATGAGATAACATTTGTCTCTATTTAGATGCAACCCCTGTAATAGATCTCAATGGCCAACCCAATAAATTGAGCATGCATCACCCGTCCACAACATGTTATTATACAATCTCTTTTCTCTTATAATTATTTTTATGGTTTTTGAATTAAAATCGAATCAATGGTTACAAAACCATAATAACTGAGAACGTTGATTTGATTTTGATTTAACAACTTTAATTTAACAACTATAAAAGTAGTTATAAGAGAAGAGAGGTTATTAATATAACCATGTTTGTTTTTTTTCTATAGTAATGCATAAAATAATATCATTTCGCGACGAAATTCAATGTCTTTTTGAAATTATAATTTATTCCAAGGTTATAACAGTTTTTATGATTATAATTTTTTAATATTTTAACCAAAAATAATGTCTTTTAGGGAAAATGTAGATAATTTATCTGCATTCATTGTATAAACATTAAAACTATATATATATATATATATATATATATATATATATATATATATATATATAGGGTTTAGTGAGTGTACAGTGACTGGATATAAAATTTGGTCCAGTGGACTATGTTATCCCGAGAGAACACAGTTATAGTAAATATTACAAGTATGCTTTCCTGAGAGTACACCATTATAATATTTAGTGTACTATGTTCTTCCGGGAGAATATAGTGCACTGGACGGTCCAGTCACTGAATATTCATTTTTTCCATATATATATATATATATATATATATATATATATATATATATATATATATATATATATATATAGGGATATGATCCTTAGATACCGGTCTCAAATTTTGAAATTTGACACCAAATCTCAACCTTTGATTTTTGCCAGTCAACGGTTATTATTTATTGAGAATCAAACTTATTAATTACTGTCAATTCCCAATAAATGATAATAGTTGATTGACGAAAATCAACGGTTAGTATTTAGTGTCAAATTTCAAAATTTGACACCGGTATCAAAGGATCATGCCCTATATATATGTATGTGTGTGTCTGTGGGTTTACATTTCTGCAGATGTTGTATGTGCAGCAGCTAAATACTTGTCATATATATACGTGAAAGTATTAAATGTGGAGAATCATAATCGTACACCTGTCATTACTATACGTAAAGCGGCTGTAAAAATAATTTTACCCCCCCCCTCACACACACACACATATATATATAAATATATGGATAGGATCCTTTGGCACCGGTGTCAAACTTTGAAATTTGACATCAAATCTTATCCGTTGATTTTCGCCAATCAATGGTTAACATTTATTGGGAATCAAACTTATTAATTAATATTAATTCTCAATAAATGATAATCGTTGATTAACGAAAATCAACGGATAGGATTTGATGTCAAATTTTAAATTTGACACCGGTGTCAAAAGATCCTATATATATATATATACATATATATAGGAAAAGAATTTCTCAAGCAGCTTGAGATAAGTTTATCTCCGGCTACCCCTGTTATGGACCCATATGATGGGCCCATTAAGTAGTAAGCCCAACAAGGGGCAATCCAAGATATGGATTGGTGCTAGTCAGATCCTACTAATCTTAGTGTGTCAGCACAGCCTATCCACTTGGTGTGTCAGCATAGCTATCCAAACTATCTACAGGTAACCTCTATAAATACCAAGGCAAACCCAAAAGGTACACACATTCTCTCTCTCTTTGTTATGTTGTCACTGTGCACACACACACCCCATTGGCTAACGCCACTATAGTATTCTGTGCACAATGATCTCCTTGACTCAAGGGTATCTCCCTCATAGATACCTTGGAGAGGGCATCAGATCCAATATTAACGTACTAGCCTGACTGGGCTAGACATCTCTGTCTCAAGGACAGAACATTGGCGCCGTCTGTGGGGAATTCTTTTCTCTGAATTTGAATTTGAAGTTCCCACCAAATCTGACAAGGGATGGCAATCCAGACGAGGAGCAGTAGCCAACAGCCACCCCCAAACCAAAATCAGCCGTTGGATTCAGTCGTTGAGGAGATAAATCAGCCTCATAGTCAGATCGGAAACAACGTGGATTACGATCATGTCCAGATCGAAGACGATGTTTCGGACACCGCTTCAAAACCAGCACCCCGAAATGGGGGAGCTACAGCGAATGTAGCTCCAATAAGGAGCAACCCTGCCCAGCATCCTGGCGATCTGGCTGCACGCGTCGCTCAATCTGCCGATCCAGATACTCGGTTGGCCAACAACGCGTTAAACGCAATTATGAAATGAGTAGCAGCCTTGGAAACCCGTACAAACTTGCAACGGCAACAAGATTTCAGGGCTATTCGAGAGGAAAATAACAGAGGGATGCAAGACCTGGAGCGGCGATTAACACGGCGGACTGCGCCAGGAATGACCAATTTCGAAGGCCAGCCTGCCTATGGTCGAGAAGGACCTAGAAACCCGGCTCAATCATACCAAGTTCCTCATGCAGAAAACCCTGGTAACCTGGTAAACCAGGGGCACCAGGTCACTGATGGCCAGGATGCACAAAATCATCAAGCACATGCTGACGGTCAGGAGGGCCGGGTTATAGCTCAGTATCAACCGGATCTTCAAAACATCCGAGGACGAGTAGAACCTGGCAGATATAGGAGGAAGTACAGCAGGGGGCAGTATAATAATAGCTCATTCACTACTGAAATATTAAATGTTGTCTTCCCAGAGGACTTTGACTCGGCATGTTTACCGAAATATGATGGGAGCCAAGATCCGCAGGTGCACATAGATGCCTTTGACACGGACATGTATATTCGGGGAATTGATGAACCTCTCATATCCCGAATATTTGCTGTAACATTGACGGGGGCAGCACAGGCATGGTTTTCAACCTTGCCTGCTAATTCCATCGGATCCTTTGAGGAGTTCGGACAGAAGTTCCTGTTGAATTTTGCAACCAGCAAGAAGCATCCAAAGTCCGAGTTCGCTCTTAGAAAGATACGACAGCAACCTGGAGAAACCCTCCAAAAATACCTTAACTGGTTCAAGGACACTGCACTGCAGGTCCCAGGGTTGCAGGAGAATGTCCACGTCCATCTCATTGTCGCAGGTCTGGATGGTGGATCCAGACTCGCCAAGTCGGTCTATAAGGACCCAGTAAAGACATTGGAGGAGTTTAGAACTCGCTCGAAGAAATACCTTGAACTAGAGCAAATGGAGATTGCAAATGCGCAAGCTGATGAAGTCAACAGAACAAGCCCGAGAAGGAGGAGTCCACCCCTGAAGGGAAAAGAACGAGTTGACAGTAAGAAGAAGGATCAGCGCCAACGAATCCCGGACATGAGAGAACGCATTGGAAGGTACGATAAGTATACACCCTTGAATGCGTCGCGCTCTCAAATTTGGAGAGAAGTAGCCACGACAGAGATGAAAAAGGTGGAGAGACCTCGTCCCATATTTGACAAAGGAGGATTAGATAAGTCCAAATACTGTGCCTTTCATGATGGGCCAGGCCACACCACTGATCAGTGCTGGGATCTCCGAGACGCGGTGGAAAAGTTTGTAAGAGACGGTAGATTACGTCAATATGTGATAAAAACTCAAGGTTCCAAAAAGAACAAAAGGAAGTTGGAAAACAGGAACCGAAGCAAAAGCCCCGTTACTGACAAGAAGAACAGACAAGATAAGAATCAGAAAAATGATTCCAACTATGATGAATTCCCTGAAGCGAAATTTGATTGTAATGTAATTAGTGGAGCTTTGGGAGGTGGAAGAGATACTGTAAGTGCTAGAAGAAAGTACTTGAAAGAGGTACTCTCCATTCGTGATCGTCCCAAGTTTAAAGAAGACTCAACCAAGCCAGATCCACCTCTGTTATACTTTACCAAGGAGGACATGCGCGGGGTGCTGCCCAGTCATGTTGACGGACTGGTAATCGCAGGGACCCTGGTAAACTGCCGGGTCAGGAAGATTTTCGTGGATGCAGGAAGTTGTGCTGACATCATACTCTGGGATGCTTTTAAGAAGATGAACCTGGATGAAGAGGACCTCAAACCTTGCAGAACGACGTTGGTAGCCTTTAACGGAGAACATACGCCTCCTAAAGGTTACATTGATCTCAGGTTAACCCTGGGAACAAAAGAAGCGTTCAGATCGGAACAGGTTAGGTTCATAGTGGCTGACTTCCCATCAGAATACAACATAATGCTGGGAAGACCAACTATACATCACTGGGACATGCTGGTTTCTATAAAACACCAGAAGTTAAAAATAGTGAGCAATAAGAATGAAATAATCACTGTTTGTGGAGATCAGAAGGAATCCAGAGGTTGTTACTTTGATACTATTAAAGAAAATGAAGGGGGACGTTCGAGCCCACCCCGAATTTATGGACCCATATGATGGGCCCATTAAGTAGTAAGCCCAACAAGGGGCAATCCAAGATATGGATTGGTGCTAGTCAGATCCTACTAATCTTAGTGTGTCAGCACAGCCTATCCACTTGGTGTGTCAGCATAGCTATCCAAATTATCTACAGGTAACCTCTATAAATACCAGGGCAAACCCTAAAGATACACACATTCTCTCTCTCTTTGTTATGCTGTCACTGTGCACACACACACCCCATTGGCTAACGCAACTATAGTATTCTGTGCACAGTGATCTCCTTGACTCAAGGGTATCTCCCTCATAGATACCTTAGAGAGGGCATCAGATCCAATATTAACGTACTAGCCTGACTGGGCTAGACATCTCTGTCTCAAGGACAGAACAACCCAAAACTACGTCGTTTTTTTTATTTATTTCCTTATATTAATTGATTCACCTTTGAATGGTTATGATTTCCTTTTTCTCTATGTTCCTTTATCACCATTGATCCATCTTTGTACGGTTATGATTGAGAAACGATAAGCCCTATATATATATATATATATATATATATATATATATATATATATATATATATATATATATAAGCTTGAGATAAGTTTATCTCTGGCTACCCCAAAACTACGTTGTTTTATTTATTTATTTCCTTATATTAATTGATTCACCTTTGAATGGTTATGATTCCCTTTTTCTCTTTGTTCCTTTATCACCATTGATCCATCTTTGTACGGTTATGATTTAGTAGTCGGAGATAAGATTATCTCAAGCAGCTTGAGAAACGATAAGCCCTATATATATATTTGAGATAAGTTTATCTCCGGCTCCCCCAAAACTACGTCGTTTTATTTATTTATTTCCTTATATTAATTGATTTACCTTTGAATGGTTATGATTCCCTTTTTCTCTCTGTTCCTTTATCACCATTGATCCATCTTTGTACGGTTATGATTTAGTAGCCGGAGATAAAATTATCTCAAGCAGCTTGAGAAATGATAAGCCCTATATATATAGAGAGAGAGGATCCTTTGACACCTCATCTGAGAATCGTTAGATCAAAAAAGATCAATGATGTCACATGCTTATATATCAGAGTCGTTGATTTTTTTTATCTAACGGCTCTCAGGTGTCAAATTTCAAATTTGACACTAGTGTCAAAGGATCCTGCCTCAATATATATATATATATATATATATATATATATATATATATATATATATATATGACACTTTTTAACCTTAAAAAAGACTCACCTTATATTAATTTAAAAAAAACGAATTTTACTATTTTTTTTCTCTTTATCCTTTATCTTTATTTTTATTTTTTGATACAAGAAAAAGTACTAGAACATGTCACCTAACATAACTTCTCACACCCCTCACCACTAACCTCATTCTAGTGGCTTCTTTATCTCTATTATCTCCACCATTCATCGCCCTTTTGTGGGGGTAAAATTATGGGTGAAAGATTTCCATCTACTGATTTAACTTAAGTGAAGGATCTGTATATATTGCACTTTATTTGAACAAATGATAGGGAAACGCCATAAGTCAACAAAATAAAGGGTGGCTAGACAATGCACTGCACGAGGATCATTAGGAGCATCTCTTTCTCTCTTTCTCTCGTGTATATGTTAACTTATTAGCTCCCACTTGCTCGCCAACTTGCATAAACCGACGACGTACTAGTGACTATTCAAACAAACAAACCAACCCATGCTGCCCGACATTTCTTTTCTTCGTTTTTGCTTCCTTTCTATTTGATATCTCTCTCCATTGAATTAAATAAAATCATTGTGGCTCAACAACATCAATATATGATAATATTATTATGCTGCAACTTGCATGTCTTTTGCGCAAATTGACAAGGACATAGTTTGGAACTCAGGGAATATACATAACTTTGAAAAGCCCAAAAAAGTCATGTTACAGCCTAATACAGCTAGCTGTATAGTATTTTATACTATTCAATACGCTTTTCTCTATCTAATTCAATCCAATTAGCTTTATTCATAGTATAAGCTAATGTCAATTTAGTAAGCCCAACTTGAACAATCATGTTCACGGAGTGAAAGTTAAGAATATTTTTTTGTATATATAGAGTTCAATTACTTCTTTATTAAGTTTATAGGAATTTAAAAAACTACTAGCCTTAGAAGGTCCGCGCCTGAGTTGTTATACTTATATATCTATTGCATAGTTTACTAGTTTTCTTAACAAAATAACTAAATAACATAATAATCACACTGCATATTACTCTATCTATATAAATGTATAATTATTTAAAAGATTTTTTTTAAAGAAATATTCTACCAACTTTATAAACAAAAATAAGAGAAACTTATGCTCCATACATAATTTTAGTCATGCAAGATAAAAAGTGAAGGCACAAACACAATACAACCCATACCTCAAGTTGCATTAGTTACAATATCATAGCCATCGTCACATTCGCCTTAACTTCAGGAAGCTCAAATTCAAAAGCTCTCTCTCTCTCTCTCTCTCTGCATTTCATGTGGAAACTTATAATTCACATCACCACTAGCCAAGTTTATATGTAACTAGCTAATAAAGTAATAATCAATTTAAAAACAATACAAATTAAACTTGTAATTCAATTAATTTATCAATCATATAGTCGGTGCAATTCTCCTCACACGTACATAGATAAACATCTATCATAACGTTGACGAATATATAAAATTATGAATATGCATTATAAATTACAACAACTAGGGTTTAAAATTTATAAAGATCAACATACATTTCTACAACTTGTCTTGGCCATATGAAAATTACAATAATGAGAACAAAGATTACACCAATTCCAGAAATCCTTGTTTCATTTTCATTTTCTCAACAAACTCACACAACCTAACAATAATAAGCAAAAAATATATAACAACTAAATCACTAATATTACATTTGAAAATTTATAAACGTAAAAATCAAAATCAAAAACCAAAAAAAAGAAAGAAGAAAAATTTAGGGCAAGTTATCGTTGATGCGATCTCGTTGATCTCGCCAAGTTTTCGGCGAATCTCGCGAGAGATTGAAGGTTGCACCGAAGGATGGTGTCGACGAACACGCAAGTGTCCTCGGTTGTGTTTCCCGGCGGCACATCAACCACGTAGGACTCAACGACCACCGTACCGGAGCGGTGGTTACCGTCGGCGTCGACGATTGAGCGGGGGTGAAGGGTTGTAACGGAGCGGTAGTTGGCGAGGCGGTGATCGCCGCCGATCATGCTGAAGCTGATGACGTGGCGCTCGTCGTCGAGGATGTCGAGGCGTTCGGTGCTGACGGCGGCGGGGAGGCCGGAGATGACGCGGACCTCGCGGAGGGTGCCGACGTCGCCGTCGCCGAGGATGACGTGGCAGCTCTTGACGAAGTTCTTGTAGGCCTGGGGGTTGTCGAAGCGGCGGACGACTGACCAGACGGTGGAGACAGGGGCGGCGATCTCCTGGACGACGGCGGAGCAGCACTGGTTGGGGGAGACGGCGTGTGTGTGATGACGGGCCACGGCGTCGGGGACGGTGGCTGTGGTTGGAGGAGGGTGGTCGTGGTTCATCCTTTGGAGGAGAGAAAAGTTTGAAGGGTTTTGTGGCATTTTGTGTTTTTTGAGGTTTTTTTGGATTTGAAATGTGAATGGTTTGGTTTTTTGAGAGAGGAAGAATAAAATGAATATTTGTAAGAGAACAAGAGAAGTTAACTGAAGTTGGAGGGGACCAGATTTCAGTTAATTTTTTTTTTTTTTTAGTTACAGGATTATTTATATAGCAAGTGAAGGGGTTTGGTTAGATTTTCAAAATCAGAAAAGTTATTGAAGTTCATGTGGGATGATAGAGAATATAAAGAGAGAGAGAGAGAGTGAAGGAGTTGGGTTGGGTTGGATTTTCAAGAACAATAATAGATTTTTACAAGTTAAAATATCATTAACCCTTTCAACAAAAATAAATAAATAACATTACCCAATGATTCATCATATATTAAAAATGTTTAAATTAAAAAAAATTCCTTTACTTTCTTCTATCATAATTTTTGTTTCTCTCATCACAAAAACAGTCAAATGTCATAATTTAATGTTATTTAAAAGGGCAAAGTGACAAACACTAATCTCATGTGAAGGACAAATAAATAACTCAATCTTATGTGAAAGTGAATACTCTCATATCTAAATTAACATAACAATGTCATGTTGGGGAAGCATAAATGTATAATCACACAAAGATGAATCAATGATGATAAAGATAAAAGAGAAAAAAAAATATGGGGATAGGTATTTACAAAATCATTATTGTTGATATTTTTTGTATGGTTAGAATTTTCCCTAATTAAATGGATCCTTGAAGTCATGTCAAGGCCAATTGAGTAACTAAATCTTCAGGAAATAGATCCTCTCATATTAAATAAAACATGATAGGTCATTTAAGAAAATCACAACCATCCAAATGTTAATTAACGGTGATGATTATTTGATTGTGTAACTACATATTTCAATATTTTTTCTCTCTTCCTTTGTCAACATCCATCCACTTTGTATGGTTATAATTTTTTCACATGTTCATCTCATGTTTTATTTAATATGAGAAGATCTACTTCCAAATCTTCTCAAGACAAATATGGAGTATAATTAATTCTATAGAAAATAAAATTAACTATTGTTTATTATTATTATTATTATTATTATTATTATTATATTTTAAATTTAGAATAAGATCTTTTGACACCGGCGTCAAACTTTAAAATTTGATGTCAAAATCTAACCGGTGATTTCTGCCAATCAACGGTTATAATTTTCGCTAACCAAACTCATTAGTTAATTATTAATTCTCAATAAATAATAACCGTTGATTAACAGAAACCAAAAGTTAGAATTTGGTGTCAAATTTCAAAATTTAATTTGATATCAAAGGATGCTACCCCATTTGAATATATATATATATATATATATATATATATATATATATATATATGTATATTTATATTTATATATTTTTGAGAATAATATTTCTCTCGTAAGATAATTTGATCTTTGCACATACGTACAAGTGTAGGGATTGCACTTTTTTTTATTGGGTCTCAACTCTCATCCATTCTCATGCATAAAAGATAAAATTATCTCCTACTTACAAGAAAAATATTAATCTCTATAAATTTATATAATGTAGGATTCTAAAAATAACTTAAAATGTGTTTAATTACTCAAATTCTTTCACAACTTTACATCCGTTGAATATAATTTTACTCGGACATATACACAATATGACCAGTACATAGCCCATGTTGGAAATATTTTAATTTTCTTTTACTGAACAATAAATCCTAAACGAATTTATAAGAGTATACTGTATGTATGGCACTATGCCCTGTGAAATGAAAACACATTAAGGAAAAAAAAATAAAAAAAAATGCGAAACAATTATTCACATCGCCGGAAATGGCAGTCTAGAAATTCCACAGACAAGAAGGCTCGAATAAATACGATGCTATCAAATAGATTTATTCAAATGATCAACTTGCAGGATAGGTCGTAAGCTGTGAGATCAGCTTAATTTTTTTATACAGAAAATCATGAAGAAAAGTTAACATTTATTAAGATTTTAAAATAGTTATCTAAAAAATCAAAGTTAATTACTTATTCATCTAAAAATATTGAAAACCGTAGTTATTCTAACAATAGCTTTGACCAAAAATTATTTAGCTATGTAATAATTTTTGGTGTTGAGTTTTGCAATGTTATTTGCTTATAAAAACCAAGAATAAGTTTTAAATTTTTTATTCTAAAAGACTTGAGTGTTTTATTACAATATTACACGGCTATAGATTATTTTGGATATTATCGGTCAGTTTATTGATAATTTGATTATTTCGATTTGAGCCAGGTATAATTACATGAACGATTTTATTCTTCCTATCAAGTTTTAACAATTGTATAAAACATGATACATTTTTTTTAAAAAAAAATTGCAAAATATGATTGTAGTTATTAATCTTATATATAACATATGCATGCCTTACCCGCCGCACACCGCTTAGACGCTTACCTCTTTTTGCTACAGTCTAAACGCAGCCTCATCATCTATGTGTATGCCTCATTTTGCATGAGACCTTTTTGTCGCTTTAACGTGATGAACCAAACTCTTTTGTTTTGTTTTCGTGTTTTTCTTTGTTCAAAACTTCAAAGTCTTAAACTGTGCGTGACCATGCCAGTGGCAGAGGCCAAATTCACATTTTGGACCCATTTTTTGTGCACGTGAGGTGAAATTGATACCAACATGTGTTCCTACTTGTCTATGCCACTGGTTTATTAGCTACCTAGTTGGTATGTTAATGTAATGGGACCATACATGTGAACAAATTCACTTTATTGCTTTATTTTCTTTCACATTTATATATATATATATAGGGAAAAGTGTCTATACTTTTAAATTACACAACTTACATCCTTTCACTCTCACAAAGAGGTAGGACCCACAACTTTATTTTTTTTTGTCAACTCTCTCTCCTCCTTTATCTATCTCTTTCTCTCTCTTAAAATGACACAACTTTACATCCTTCAAAATTATACACACTTTTCCCATATATATATATATAATATATATTTTTATTTCTGTGCATAATTTCAGGTTGAAACATACGAGATAAAGTACACGGAGAGTTTCATGAATGTTGTAGATAAACCCAATTGTAATTGATTGGTTTAATAAAACCAATCATGATTAGTCAAAAAGTCAATTTCTGGGAGAAATTCTCATTTCAATATAAACTAACTTATCCCAATTGTTATCCAATTTGTTTATTTTTTTTTCTTTAATGTTTTCAAGATGAATGCAAATAAAGATCCACATTTACTCTCAAAATGATATTGTTTTGAATTGAAAAATTAAAAAATTATAATGATAAAAGTTATTATAACCTTGAAATAAATTATAATTAAAAAAATATCTTAATTTTCGTCTCAAAATGACGTTATTTTAGACTCAATACAAATATCTTATCTATATTCATTGCAGAAAAAATGAACCTTTTTTTTTGGAGTAACATGTGTAGGAGATATACACATACATAAATATGTATTTGGTTAATGTTATCTTTCTTTTTTCTCTTTTATTCACATTGTCTCATATGGGTTCCATACATTTTTATGTATGTATAAGAGATAAAATTATTTCCTACAAAAAATAATAATCCCATTTTTTTTTTGTATAGCGTTCAGAATGAAACAACAACGACATATTATTAAATTTTTTTGATAAATTAATCAAATTTAATTGAGTTAACTACCCAATCGTATTTTGTTACGGTGAAAATGAGCATTGAACCAATTTGGTCAATTAATTGGCCATATATGCAATCCGATCATAAACCGGGTTATATATCTTTTTATAAATTAAATTTAAGTTTAATCAGTAGGTTGAAACAATAATTCATTGAACCGATATTCTGATCGAGTTTATGATTGGTTCGAATTTAATCACATGGCATAAAACTCAAATCCCAATTCGCTTTAGATCAAGTTTAAAATTCTGAAATTAATCTAATTAAACCTGCACAGTTTAATTTGTTTTGAATTGGAATCAAACAACGAATACAATATTAATACCTTAAAAGGCTTCATCCATAACCACATAATTATAGCATTGCAAGTCTTAAGATAATAATTTTCCAACAAAAAAAAAAATTATATAAAGTATTAATGGCAGGTATCATGTTATATATATCCCAGTTGCTTGGTTTTTTTCTTTTTCTTTTGGTAAACAACTTGCATGCTTTTTATTATAAATAGAAAGCAACTCTTTATTTATTTTATGTTTAGTTGTTTCTTTCATTTTCTAAGAAAAAGGAAGTTCTTATTCTCTCCATTTCACTGTTTCTTCCACTTGAACATTCAAATATAATAAACGTGATAGCCAATTGGCCAATCTGAGAAGAAGACTGATTCTATCGGTCCCCACCCCAACTACTATAATTAAGAAAAGCCTCACAAATATTAAAATTATGAATGATTCTCCCCATCGTCAGTTTTCTCTTTTATACTTAAAAAACGAAGAAAAAATATATTTTGTTTACTGCTCACTTCCATAAAGGTAAGCAATAATTGCCTTCAATAGTAACAACCAGAGTTTTTTTTTAAAAAAAAAAAAAAAAATTATAAATAAAACTTCAAATATAAATTTTACAAGTTGGACCTATGCTAACTCTAAGCTACAATGAGATATCTAGTTATGTATATTTTTACAATGCTGATTTATATATTTAGTAAAATAAAATAAGATTGGATCTGCTTTTTTAGAAAATAGGCTTACAAAACTTGGCATACAAGCTTACAAATTGATTTATATCGTATTATTTATTTTAATTAAAATAAATTAAAATAATTATTCATATAATTTTAATTAATAAAAAGTTATTTAATATATTTTCCTAATTTTGATTGGTTTAAATAGGTTAAAGGCCTAGACCAAACCTCTTAATTTTAAATATAGGTGCCTATAACATAGTTATACCAGATTAATAAGTCAGATCAGATTCAAAATATTTTACATAAACCTAACCTATTTAGATCAAAGTTTAGACATATTTCTAAATGTTAATGTTTAAAAAGAAATGTTATATTTATAAACTTTTGTTTACAAACTATATTATGTATGACCGGTCATACACTAATCAAGATTATATGACCGGTCATATTTAATAGTTAATATAATTTGTAAACAAATTCTTCTTCATATTTAAATACTACACTTTTTTTGTAAAACTGTTAGCACATATGGGCCAAGGCCCGTGGCCCAATCCGTTTCACTTAAAGGCAGGGGTACGAACTCGATCCATTTAACTTGTGTATTGGGCCTGATACCCAGCAGATTAGTTTCCAACCCAGTGTGATATTAAGAACAAAAACTACAAATAATCCATTATTGAAACCAAAAATAATCATCAAAACGTGTATACAATGCAGATAAAAGAGAAAAGAAATCAACGTGGCAAAAAAAAATGGAAAAGTAACATACTTTGTAATAAGCAATAATTAAATAATTGAGCGTACACTTCTAAGAATTTCTGAGATTGTTTATTCTGAAGACTAGAAGAGTAGTTGGTGGATGGGAGTGAAAGTGAAAAGAACGAAATGGATCAGATATTGAACAAGGTGGGGTCATACTGGTTCAGCCGAAAGGCCAACAAGGAACTTAACTCTGTCGGTGATGATATCAATGTACGTAATCCTTGATACCCCTTTTAATCCTTTTTATTTTTTTCTCCCTTTTATTCAGTAAAGTTTAGATTTTTTCATCTGGGGTACTTGCATGTGATTTTTTTATTTATCATTGGGACCCTCCCTGGATATGAGACTTACTTAATGTGAAGATATTTTATATGGTGATTTTTTATTTTTTTATTTATTTATTTATTTTTATTTTTTTGGGGGGGTTGTGGTTGAAAATGGGTTTAGGAAGAAATGTTGGAGTTTATTGATGTTTGCTAATGAAATTTAGGTTGGGTATGGGACGTGGAAGGTGTAGTAGAAGGTAGAGGATTTGAGGATCAAGTGAATTTGAGGAGTTTTTGGATGCTAGTAGAGACGTGCACTGCACCCCTTTGGAACAAGCTGTGACGTTGATCAATCTGGGTGTGAGTTTTGATAACAATGTAAAAGTTAAAAGTATTTGATTCATTTCCCCTTACTTACTTGGAGTTCTTTATTGAATAAAAACCTGAGGTATTTGATCGTTAATGTAGAGTTTGTTTTCCAAATTCTCCTGTTTTTGATACAAGGGATTTCTTCAACATGGCAATGCTCAAAATTTATATTCTTCCCTGCTGATTAATCAATGGATTAGGCTAAGTGTAACAAATTTGCAGTGTTTGCTTTGTATTTGAAGTAGAAACATTGGATTGAGTTTGAAAGAAACACCGACTATAAATGTGCAAGTTATGTTCTAAATGTGACAATATTTTGCTTCTGTTGAAAGATATTAGAGATTAAGTTTTAAATAATAAGCACTAAAAATCTGTAGTTACTGTATTACATTCACCAGCTCTGAGATGTTGCATTGATGTCAAATTTTCAATGCATAATTTTATGGTTTTGGTGAATAGAAAATAGGCTACCAGCCTAAGTATAAATGTGAGTGAGACATAGGCATAGGGCCCAGGTTTATGGTTTAATTCCCCATATCTGAAAATGAATCATATGATTCTTTTATGTTGAGGGAGGCATGAGAAAAAATAAGAATTGGGTCAAGTGAGTAAAAATATTTTAGGTGGAACATGTAGTATGAATGTCTTGTAAGGAAATTTAGGTTGGGAATGGACAGAGGAAGGTAGAGAAGCTCTGTAACTTGTGTGTTTGGTGCAAGATTATAATTCTACAATCAATTTGAGAAATTTTGCTCTATATCGGTGATTCAGTTGAGAGATGCTCCCATACCACGATGCTATTAGTTCAATGCATGCTTAAAATTAGTCTTGGTGCTGCTGGCAAGTGTTTGTTCATTTTTCCTTACTGGAAAATTGGAGCTTATGTTCAAGATTGATTTATCTCCTTGCTGATAATAGAAATCATTTGTGAGTCTTTGGGCTGTCATGTTTGCACTGGACTAAAACAAATGTTGAAGAAGACATTTCATTGCTTGTGTAATGTTTATATTAACACCTTTTCTGTTGGTGATTAGTCACTGTCAAACACTATCGAAGGGGGAACAAAATGGTTGGTCAACAAATTAAAAGGTTTGTATCTCTATGGTCTATTATATTTCTCTTTGTTGCTGTGAAATCCGTGCTGTAGTGGGGATTTCTTCTAATTTAAACTAATCATCCTAAATATATAAATGCATTGAAGTTTCAATCCTCCCTTAGATTATAGCCAAGGCCATTAACACATGTTTCAATCAACCTTGTATGTAATTGATTTTCAAATGATCAGAATTATAGGGGGGATCTCCATGTTGGGTGGACTAGAGAGCAACTTGGAAACTTCGTATTTTGAATCACTGATAACTATAATTTTCTATATATTTTTTCTCTTTTTGAGGGGGCAGGGGTGAGTTGAGGTAGGAGTCTAGTGTGAATAGGGGCATTACTAACACTGCTTTTCCAGAAACTGCTTTCTTATGCTTCTAAAAGAATGAGAGTGAATAAATGTTACTCCTCAGTCTCTCCTTTTCTATTTTGATTAATATTACTCCTTTAACTCATAAAAAACCATTTAACAGGAAAGATGCAAAAGCCATTATTGGAGTTGCTAAAGGAGTATGATCTACCCATAGGAATATTTCCTCGTGATGCAACAAACTATGAATTTAATGAAGAAACAGGAAAGCTTGTTGTGTACATTCCTCAAGTGTGTGAGATAGGCTACAAGGATTCATCTGTCTTGCGTTTCTCCACCAGTGTGACTGGTTATTTGGAGAAAGGAAAGCTAACAGACATAGAGGGAATGAAGACCAAAGTGTTGATATGGGTAAAAGTGACTACCATTGCATCTGAGGGATCAAAGCTCAATTTCATGGCTGGCATGAAAAAAACAAGGAGAAGGGAAGCATATGAGGTTTCTAGAGATGGTGTAGCCGTGGATAAATTCTAATATATTAACATCCTTTTGTTAATATTTTGACAATGGTAATATAAATTGTCTGTTCTTGTGGATGATTTTGTTCTCCTTGTGTATGTTGTGATTTGGTAGAACTCCCTTTTGTGTCCTTATTGATGATCAAGTAGTTTCAGTTTTCGATGGTTGAGTTTATTATGTTTTTCTTCTTATATCACAAAGCTTTATTTAATACCGGAGCACCGTATTTGCAAGTGAACAACAATATTGTCCTAGTATTGATTAAGGATACTGATTCCCCTCTGTAATTAGATGCTGCTGTTACTGCGTAGAGAATGGTTACAAAGTTAAAGGCACATTTGAAACATAGCCACTGTCATATACTCATTTATTAACAACATAATAGATAAGTATTCAAAATATATCGGATGCTTTTTGGTAATATCAAACCCTGTGTTTTGACATAAATATGTATGTAGGTAAAATAGTATATCGGCTAGAAGAAATGGCACTTCTATTTGTAGAAGTTTAACGTGAAATGTCATCTCATAAGCAATTCAGGATGTGGAGCAGGACAATATATGATTTCCCAGCGCAAAAAGTTTAAGAATGCACCAGCCGGGAATCGAACCCGGGTCTGTACCGTGGCAGGGTACTATTCTACCACTAGACCACTGGTGCTCTTGATAGGAAATGGCACAACCAATATTATAAATATTTAATAATAAGGAAAAATATTTCCATTTTTGTTGCAAATAAAATTTCTGTCACACTCGTAGAAATAAGTGGGTTCCATTGCAAAGAGAAGAGAGAAAAAAATTAATAAGATTCACTCACTTTTATGTGAGTGTAGCAAAGAAATTTTTTCTGTAGCAAAAATAGAAACATTAAACCTTTAATAATTTAAACGATTCATTCCTTTAAAAACCTAAATTATTGGACTAAAATCACTTTTATTGTTGATGTAAAAAATATAGATTGTTATAAAAAAATAAAAAATAGATGTGTTATAAATATGAGTGCTAGGAAGCCTAAAAATTATAGAGCCCGAACAACATATATTTTAAGGGGGGAAAGAAGGGTGAGTTCATTTTTTATTTTATTTTTGGAACAAGAAGGAAAACAACTAAACATGATTACATAATCTTGGGCTAGAAACACCCATCAGATCTCTACTAAGGAGTTCCCTACACACTTGAGATGGTTCCTGATACAAAAATAAATTCCAGTGATCCAAAAGACCATCTTCAAAGGCTAAAATATCTGTTGTCCTATTTCCCTCTCTAAATTAGTGACTAATCTTAGTTATTCATTGTCTACTCAATAAAGTCCTGATTTGAATAATGAACAGAGCCAGCGGATGATAAGCCTAACATCGACTCATAATAAAATTAAAAGCAACCTCTGAATCCCCTTCAATCCATACCTTCCTGTAGCCCCTCTCCCAGACGACCTGTAAACCGACCAAAATACCCCAAATCTCCGCCTTCATAGCAAATCCATAATACATGTTCTTACAAAAACTTGTAAACCATTTACTTGCAGCATCCTAGATTACACCTCCACAACTAGAAATAGCTTCCCCCAACCCACTAAAACCATCCACATTCAACTTTACCCAACCCTCGGGAGGGAATTTCCAACAGGTGAATTGTTCCACCTTAACATGTCTATGCAAACTATAAGCTCCCAAACTATCACAAGCCAATTCATAGTTGTCCACATAAATTCTTATTTGTCTTATTAAAGAATCATTGCTAACAATCTTGTTATTAAAGATCAGATCATTTCTAGCTCTCCAAACAAATGAGCAAGTGACACAAAAAATAAAGCACCAATCCGTCTAGAAATTTGATTGAACGCTAGACGTCAAATTCGATTGAAGTCATCCTTGACAACTCCACACAAAAAATTCAGGATGATAATCAACAGCATGAATCAAATTCCAGAGATTCCTACTCCAAGTGCAATCTCTCAACACGTGTAAAGTATCCTCAGGACCCTCCCCGCATATGTTGCACAGGTTATAGAAAGTTAAGCATCTCCTCTCTCTGTTAGCATTAGTTAACAAGTGATTACCAAGAGTCTTCCATAGGAACATCTCTATTCGTTTCAGACTCCAATCCCAAAGAATAAGATCATACTCTTAGTTTTGATTAACAACATTATTCTCCAACATATTATAGGCAATCTTAACATAAAGTAATCCATCACTAGTACCTAGCCATGAAACAAGATCCATATCATTTTCAGAAATTGGGAGCAAGATGTTAGCCATAATTGCAAAGGACTGGCTGGAATCAAATATCCTAAGAATACCCCAATCTCAACAACCATTCTCATTAACACATCTATCCACTGTCCAATTCTGGACCTCTTCCGAAATTATATCATCTTAACCAGCTCATTATTCAAAAGCCACCTGTCTTGCCAAAATCTAGTACTGGCCCCATTCCCCAGTTGAATCATCGTGCCTTGTGAAACCTTGGGCCAAACTCTTTGCACTCATTTCCAAAGATTCGATGCCTATCTCATATGCTTTAAATCTAGAATTAGGTCTTCCCCAACACCATATTTGTTTCTTAGAACTTAAACCTAGAGACTTTGTCTATGTATGAGACGACCATGTCTCACTTTTATAATAAGTGCTTGATTCATGCCTTTCATGTTTCTAAAACCCAAACCACCTAGGCTTTTTTGTTGGCACACTTTCTTCCAAGAAACAACATGTATACCTCTCTTCTCCATTGTAGAACCCCAAAGAAAATTATGGGACATTCCTTCAATCTCTTTATAGGTTGTAATTGGAAGAAAGCAAGATTGCATAGCATAAGTTGGGATAGATAATAAGATATCCTAAGATAATGTTGCACAACCTGCCAAAGTCAAAAAAGTTCTCTTCTAATTCGACAGCTTCATATCCAATTTTTGGAGAATAAAGTTGAAAGTGTTGGCCTTTACTCTCTCATGAAACAAAGGAATTCCTAAGTATTTCCCCAAGTCTGAAGTTACGGAGAAACCAATGACTTGGGCAATTTCCTCAACTCTCATGTGGTTGATATTCCTGGAGAAATGCACCTTGGATTTATCATAGCTCACTCTTTGACTTGAAGAATCATAGAAATAGGAAAGATTTTTTTTTTATAAGGATAGTCTGATCCAAAGAGGCTTTAGCAAAAAGCAGAAGATCATCGGCGAAGAACAAATGGCTGATTGAAAGTCCTTTCTTCATGAGAATTATTAGTTTCCACTATTTTCCAGACGTTGCTTGAAGGATTAGATGCCCCAATCTCTCCATACACAATACAAAAAGATAAGGGGAGAGAAGATTTCCCTGTCTAATTCCACAAGTGGGGTTAAAGTAATTGGTAGTGGAACCTTTCCATAGCACATTAAGAGGGGTAAAGGTAACACTCTGCATAATCAACTCTGAAGCTAACATAGAGAGACCAACTTCCATCAAGGTGTTACCCAGAAAATTCCAATTTACTTTATCATAAGCCTTTTCTAAATCTACCTTAATGACCATCCACCGTTTCCTCCCTTTCATGAAGTGCATAACCTCTTGAGCAATGATGATATTGTCATTGCTATGTCTTCCCTTGATAAAATTGCATTGATTGAGCATAAAAAAATTGTTCAAATGCGATTTCAGTCTATCAGCAAGGATCTTGGTCACAACTTTGAAGATCACATTACATAGACTTATGGGACACAATTGTTTATTGTAACTATGTTGTCCACTTTAAGGATAAGACAAATGAAAGGTTGGTTTATGTCTTTAATAAAAAAAATATTTCCGAACACACCACCTTTAATCAACCTACAAACTGAACTTTCTATGGTATTCCATTGGGATTAGAAGAAGGTTAAATGAAGAATGAATCTTTGCGAGAAACGATTGGCCCAACTCTCATTGGTATCACCCCTATCCAGATGATTTACCAAATATAGAATTAAAAAATTTGAACCAATAATTCAGATAATATTTTAGCCTATCAAATAATTTCTTAATAAAATTTTCAAAAAATTTATTTACCAAAAAAAAAAAAATTCAAAAAATTCACTTTTTCATCATATTAATTTTCGAAAAGAAAGAAATTTCTTCTGTAACAAATCTCCTTTAACAAATCTCCTTTAACATACTCGAGCAAGAGAGAGAGATTTGTGTACTCGAGCAAGAGAGAGAGATTTGTGTCTAATTTTTCTAACAATGCTATAAATTATAATCCCTTCCTGGAGTACCGCATTCACACTGCACAAGCACGAGCACACCACACGCCCCTTTTGTCAGACAATCGTAACTGTCCACGTTTTTCTGATCCAATGGTTCATGATGACCTGTCTAACATTTGAAATTCCCTAAAAGCCCCTCGCCACCACTACTTATACCTTCTTTATCCCTCCCCAAGCTTCATCCATCAATCACCAGCACAAGCCGCCATTGATTCTTCTTCCATTTCTCTGCTTCTCAACCCTTTTTCGAATACCCACTTCGAGATTCTACCCTCATGGCTCTTGCTTCTTCCAAAGCTTCATCCTTTTCTGGTTTTTCTCTCTCAACCATTGTTGGGGATGGTCTGAGAAAACCAACTTCTTCTTCTTGTTCTTCTCTGAGCTTTGCTATCTCTTCTTCTTCTTCCCCTTTTTCTCTTAGCCTTACTGAGAAATGGGGAAGCAGAAACCTCAGGGTTTGTGCATCAACTGTGCCTCTCACTGGGGTGGTTTTTGAACCATTTGAAGAGGTCAAGAAAGATGCTCTTGCTGTTCCATCAGCACCTCAAGTTTCATTGGCTCGTCAGAACTATGTTGATGAGTGCGAATCTGCAATTAACGAGCAGATAAAGTGAGCATTTCTATAATTCTCATTTTTTTCCCATTTAAATAAGTATTTTGTTTTGTTAATATAAACAGATCAAGCATTTTTTTGTTCTCCAAAGAATCATAATATTATATTTTTATTTGTTTCCCTTATTAAAAGAGTACTAAGATCTTCATTTTTTATTTTTATTTTTTAAATTTTTAAATAAATTTTATGATTTCTTTTTCTTTTTGCATCCATATAATATTCTGATTGTTCCTTTACTAAGAGTTTTCCTCTCCAATTTGGTGTCACAGTGTGGAATACAACGTCTCCTATGTGTACCACTCCTTGTTTGCATACTTTGACAGGGACAATGTGGCTCTCAAGGGACTTGCCAAGTAACAAACATAAAACCCCTTTATGCCTCCTTCTTCTTGTTGTTTCTTTCATTTCTCAAACGTTTTCAATATCATGTGCTGTTATTGTTGACAACAGGTTCTTCAAAGAATCTAGTGACGAGGAAAGAGAACATGCTGAAAAGCTTATGAAATATCAGGTTAGTTTAACTTTGTTACTTCTCTTTTTGACTCCTGATCAAGCATCTAAAAGTAACCTTTCTAAAGTTCTCTTACAATAACTGTATTGACTTATATGGTTCCTAATAACGTGTTTAGAACATTCGTGGTGGAAGAGTTGTACTTTACCCCATCAAGAATGTGCCCTCAGAATTTGACCATGAGAAAAAGGGAGATGCATTGTATGGTGAGATTGCTGATTTCATTACTTTCTCAAACATATCTACATTTTTCAATGCCTTGATCTTCTCTGTTTGCATATGCATTGTGGTATATTCATTTGTTCAAACCGTTGTCTATGCTGACTTTTGATTTTCTGTTTTCCTCTATTGCTTGATTCAGCAATGGAATTAGCTTTGTCTTTGGAGAAGTTAACAAACGAAAAACTTCTGAATGTGCACAGTGTAATGGCTCTTTACCTCTTCAGCCTTTGGTTACAAATTTTTTTAGAGGAGCTTACAAATCATTTGATATATAGTTGTTAAGGCTAATCAATTGGAGATTTGTGAATAATAGGTGGCAGAGCGCAACAATGACCCTGAAATGGCAAACTTCATTGAAAGCGAGTTTTTGACTGAGCAGGTGAAATTCTTATAAACCATTGAGCTGTTGGTGATTCATAGAAATTTAAATTAAGAAAAGGAAAAAAAAAATTGTTTCAACAATGTATGGGTTTCCCAAATTTTTTGACCCTTTTTTATTTTTTTCCTTTACAACAATTCAGGACTATAAAAAGTGGGTTTATGTTAATCAGTTAACTATCAATTTGACCATGTTATAATGTTAAATATTATCCTGGAAAAACGAGCTCAGAAAAATTGAGAAGCATTACATATACATCAATGCAGTGAACATGAATTTGTAAGTTGATTTTGTGTCTTTGGTTACATTACTAAAGTTTTTGTCAAAACATCTTGCTTTCTTCTGTACAGGTTGAGGCAATTAAGAAGATATCAGAGTATGTGGCTCAATTGAGAATGGTTGGAAAGGGTCACGGTATGTATATAGCTACAAACATTTGTTATATTGGTCCAGTAACTTTGCCTTACATGTACCTATCCATTAGTATGTTTACTTTCCACCTAAGAGTAAGAAAGGAAAGAAACCAAGAGTAGGAAGGATGCCTTCAGGTTCTAATAAAATTGATGTTTTTTGTCTTACAGGTGTTTGGCACTTTGATCAAAGACTTCTGCATGGGGAAGATGCTGCTTGATCTTGAATAGCCTTCTTTTAGTTTCGTTCAACTTGGGTATTTTCTTAAGTTCTGGGTTGTTTTCTGTTTCCTATGTACTGAGATTTAGGAACTCAGAGTAATGTATCTCCTAGTATCACATGTAAAACGCTACAAGACTATTATGCAATAACATCTGTTAACCTCTTTCAATAATCTTTGTCTGCAATAAAAATGGCGTTGGTTACTTAGGTCTATATGGAATTATGTGATGCTTTGAAAATTTCATATACTGAAATCTAGATACTGCAGAATACTAGTGGCTGAAAAATGAGGTGGAATTGAAGGCTACCTCACCCCAAAAACTGGGAACTAAACTATCAAAAGTATCACCTCCATAATGATACCAAATTACCAATACATTGAATTACTTAAAAGAGGTTATGTTTTAAAGTGAATATAAATTTGTATCAGCTGAAACTGCCGATTTGGAAACTGGTAAAAGCTGCACTGACCACAACTTTTCATAACTGTATCAACTTCATGATTTATGTAACTTGCTTTCCCGATCAAAATACTTAGTTTATGTGGTTTAATCTGCTTGATTCATCTTGTAACTTTTCTTTTCTGAAGGAAATGGATAGAAATGCAATGAGTTTTCTCCTGTTCATGTTGGTGGTCTCAGCATTTTATGTTTTGAAAGTATGGAAACAAAATCTAGACCCAAAATATAGACTAAAGTCTGATACTGGCTTCTACATGAGATTCTTCAAATTTGGACTCTGATCATTCACTTTCACTTCGTATGATAACAAAATTAATGATGCAGTGGAAGTAGAGACTGAAGGAATGGAATTGACATGTACTGTAACTAGACAAGAAGCAAATTTTGATTCCCCTTCTCTCTCCATTCCTACCATCAAGAAAATCTTGAACCATTTATCTCTTGACCAAGAAGCAATTGAAGTTGGCCGAAAACAGATCATTCAACATGAAGATCTATTGATCCTTTTCTTCTTGCAGGCATATTGTGGAGAAGAAGATTCAATCATTTTCCACATGACTTGGATATCTGCATATTCCCCACAAGACTCCATATCCTTATAAAGACTAAGAAGTCCATTTCTGTGTCCTGTAATCAACACCATAAATAAACAAAGGATCAAGGACAAAGCATATACTAGTTTATTTACTTCTTGTAATTCAGAATCGTTGATGATTTCTCTATGGCTCTATACATACATATTTCACAATTTGGCTAACAATAATTGTATCTCAAGCAGCCTATTACTTACCTCTGGGTTTGAACCTGAGTTTTGAAGTGACTTTACGAAGGATACTCTTAATTGGGTAGATAGATAGGCTCTTGAAGTACCTCCAGCCTTTCCAGTTCCCCATTTTTCCAAAGCAGATATCTTTCTCATCCTTGCAGCCTCCATTTTATACATGCATCATGCCCTTCAAAAAATAATGCAATGGCTTCAAGCAAAACATCAAGATGAATAATGCCATAACAGAAAGCAACAAAGAAAAGAAGACAAGGCCTTTTGTGTACTAACAGATTCTTCTATTTTGCATAATATATTCAAGAAATTTGTTTAAATATCCTATTCAAACTGGTACTACTGTGTAAAAGTTAAAATATTCTTGCTTATGGTGTTACTTAAATTTATCAGGAAAAAAAATAAATATTGTGAATTGATATTGGGTGCGGAAAAAAAATACTCAAAGGTCAAACCAACTGTTAGGTAGTGACTGGATTTTTTATTTTATGGCACATAGTGCAGGTTTACAATATATAAAGAGTGAGGAGGAGCAAATTCATTTGGATTTTGCTTTCTCTAGTCTCTACTTCTTCATCTCACTAAATATTCTCAATTTGATTGTATATATAATGAGTGGTGTGGCCCCCAGGTCAAGCGGTTGGTTGGTTTATCTTCAGTGCCTATGTGATTGTATTTGTATTTTCTCTGTAGTCTTCTTATGGACTGAAATAAAAATTGATTATGGCATGTAATAGGACCAGAAATGTGACTGATGTTGGAAGGAGCAAGTGGATTCTGTTTCAATCGCTTTCTATGCTAAACATGTAGTTTAGGTTAGTGCAATTTAAAAGCTAGACGTATTTGTGAACTACTTTAATAGAGTTTGTAATGACATCTCACCTATTTAAATGAGCTTTAAAATTGAGTTTATCCATGAAGTTGTCTTGTCTGAGTGTGTGTTGTATTTGGTGGAGGGGTGGCATGGGATTATTCTGATGCATATTCTCAGGTGTTTTAGTAGTACTAGTGTGGCTAGACCTAGCTAACTTTCAATAATCTGTTTTTTGGATTGAGATAAAAATAAAAAGGAAAGAAGTTGAGCGGAGAGAAAATGGTAAGTTAAGATTTACCAAGGGGCCATTACTTTTAGATTTTGGTAGAATGTTTAGAAAAATTAATTTGCATGTAAGGATATAAAATCTTACACCTAATCTTAGCCGTTGATTCAATTTGCATTTGCATATAATATATTTAATACATTAAAGTCATTGAATATATATATGGCTTATCGTTTCTCAAGTTGTTTGAGATAACTTTGTCTCTGACTACTAAATCATATTTGTACACAGATGAATCAATGGTGAAAAAAGAAGAGAGAAAAAAAATTATAACCATTCAAAGGTGAATCAATTCTTTAAAAAAGTATTTTGTTATTAAAAAAAGATCCTGATCTGCTAGGGTTCAGCCGAAATGACCTCATCGGAAGAAAAACTGCCGTCGGTGGAGGAAATCAACAACCTCCAACGCTCAACAAGAAAGAAAAAGCGACAAGAAGGTGCATTTAGTACTGACCAACTTATGAAGTCCAGAGATGATGAGTGGATGCATGACAAAGTGTCTTACAAAGAGATGATAATGAGGCATAATGGCGAGTGGCCACCCAGTGGGGAAGAGAACTCTATGGAGGAAGATGAGGTACAAGAGGAACAAGGGATAGAGTCAGCTCAACTTGAACCAGAGGTCACATGCGAAGTCGGTGGAGATGGAAGGACTAATTTTTTGCTATCGAATGCGTTTAAAAAGAAGGCTTGGCGTCCATGGCATCAAGCGATTTATGTTAATCTACTGGGGAAAAAATTGTCTCTAGCATTTATGAAGAAAAGGTTGGAGAATATGTGGGCTAGAGAGGGTCAGCTGATGATTACAGATGTGGAAAATGGTTTTTTCTTAGTGAGATTTACACCGAAGAAAGACATGGAGCATGCTTTGACTGCTGGTCCGTGGGTGATTTTGGATCATTACTTGGTGATTCGATCGTGGGAGCCTGACTTTCAACCATTTCAAGCGGCAATTAACAGAGTCATGGCTTGGGTAAGACTTCCTCAATTTCCTATTGAATACGTAAATACAGAGTTGGTGAAAAGTATTGGTAATTGGATTGGTAGGTTCATAAAACTTGATGCTGCAACTACCTCACTGGTAAGGGGTAGATTTGCTAGGATATTGTGGAGTTGGATTTGAGCAAACCTCTTCAGGCTGACTATAAAATAGAAGGTAGATTAAAAAAGATTGAGTATGATGGTTTACACATTGTGTGCTATTCTTGTGGCCAGTATGGTCATAGAGCTGAAAAATGTTTTAAAATTATAGGTGGTAATGACTGTGAAGAGAAGGTTGAAGAAATAGGGAATGTAGATGCAAAGAATATTGAGAGTAAGGATGTAACTCAGAACTAGAATTCAGATGGCAATTATGGACCTTGGATGTTAGTTAATAAGCAAAAGGGAGTAAGGAATGCTGCTAATTATAAGGTGGCAGATAATAAAGATAAGGATAAAAATCCTCAAAATGGGAGACGTGAAAATGGATCAAATTTCAATAATTTGAGGACAGTGGATAGTGAGAATGCTAATTTGGAGAATGTGGAGTCTGTAAAGGAGACCCAGATGGCTTCAGAGGTTAAACAGGTGGAAAAGAATCAAGAAAGAGGAAAGAAATGTTTAAAAGATAGGCCTACTCTAATTGAAACTTCTAAAGCTTATCAATTAGTGTGGAATAATATTCAGGCCACAGATGCTTATAATAAAGAGGAACTGGTAGATAATGTGGCAATGCTTGCTGCTCAGGCCAAAGAAAAGAAGGTGCAGGTCTTCAAGGAAAACTGGAAACAACAGGATGATATAGCTTCTGATCAGTCTGGGCAAATACAACAAAATTTAGTGGAGCTGACTTCAATCCAAAGGAATGAGTTGGAAGTAGAACCAAATACGTCTCCTTTAAAGGATCACCCTATGATGGAGGCAGCAGAAGCTCCTGAACCTAAACCTCCTGATCAAAATATTAGGGAGCAAAGGAATCAAGGCCGGATCAAAGGGCAAAAGAGTTCTCCTATTGTTGCAATTGATGTGGAAAATTAATCTAAAGAGGACAGTAACGGTATGGCTATTGACATGTCTGGTAACTTGCCAAGGAATAATTTGTCTCAAGTTCAAGATCAACCTGTAACAACCCTTATGTTGTCTTAATGTCTGTTTTGTTTTGGAATTGCAGGGGTGCGGCTAATCCCAAAACTGGCCGAACTCTAAAGATGATGGTGGAGAAGCATTCAGTTGGTGTAGTGGTTTTGATGGAGACTCGTGCTAAGAGTGATAATTGTAAGAAGATTATGAAAAAGCTGCAGTTTGATGAAGCTCTTTTTGAGGAAGTAGTGGGGTTCTCCGGTGGAATTTGGGTGATTTGGAACTCTAATTTTGTATATGTAGAGTGTATTTCTCAGTCTAATCAATTTATTCATATGTAGATTGAGTTTGGAGGTAGTAGTGGGTTCTATTGTACTGCTATTTATGCTAATCCTAGAGAGGATCAGAGACACATAATGTGGGAAGAGGTTAAGCTGTTACAACATCAGATTAATGGGCCTTGGTTATTAGCTGGAGATTTTAATGATATTCGAAACAGATTTGAGAAGACAGGAGGTTCGAAAGTGGATGAAGCGAAGTGTCAGAGATTTAATGATTTTCTAGATGATTGTGGGGTAGAAGATGTTAGGTGGTCTGGGCCAAAATTTACATGGCAAGGTCCAAAATGGAATCATTTGGCTAGGATCTTCAAAAAGTTGGACAGAGCTTGTGCAAATGTCCATTGGAGGATGCAATTTGAAAATTCAGTGGTTCAAGTTCTTCCTAGGATTAATTCGGATCATAACCCTTTACTTGTCAAATTGGATTCTCATGTGAAGACTTGGCAAGTAAGGCCATTCAGATTTCTTGCTGGATGGATGGATCATCCTAATTTTGGAAATTTCTTGGAGGAGAAATGGAATGCAAGGAAAGAGC